GCGGCCCGAGTCGCATAAAATGTGTATAAATATATCAATTTCCTAGCTTAAGAAGTATGCAGCAAAAATTCAAATGTTATTTTCTACAACTTATGTGTGTGAATAGTTTTTCCTGCAATGAATTTAGTAAAAATTAAAACGAGAAACCGGCTAACAGACTCACCTCGAAACTAATTTAAAACTAGCAGTGACTAATATTTAATCAAATATTTTTGATACATTACGTTTACATCAGTTCTAGAAGCTAAATTAAGTATAACTATTCTATTTTATAATTATATATGAATAAATAATTTATGTAATAAATGTGATTTACCGGCATTTTCCCCCCTCTTTTATCTTGTATGTGGCCGGCGTTAGTTCAAAAGTTTTGAAATGCAGCTTTTACATAGTAAAAGGTTGCCCATTCTTGGTCTAAGTGGCGAGGGGGGTGTGAAATACATACTAAGTTTAGATAGAAAAGAAAAGCCACAATTTAATTTAAAACACGAAGAAAAGGTACTTACATTTTAAACAGAAGAAAAATTGAAACTCAACGTTGTCACTTTCGGGGACCACCACTTCAACCCTTTTTCTCTCTACCGTGCCTCGACCTACTCTCTCTGTCCCTTTTTTTTCGGTTTTACGACACTTTGTTCACATTTCTTATTCCCCTTTTACAACTGTACGCAAATGGATTGCACATGGACCGACAAAACCGCATCTGAGGGAGAACGAGGAGGTCCGATATCACTACATTTGCGTTTGCGCGTTACGTTCACGCGTTGCGTTCGGTTACAACTTACAAGTGTAACACATTAAGTCAAGACATCGCGAGCGATCGACCGGTCGATCGCGATCGACTTGTTGGCCACCCCTGTTATATGGTATAGTAGCCCTCTATCCCCCATCCATGAAGGAGATTCCCGTTTTTGCCTGAAGGGCGTGCTGTTGAAGATATAAGGGCTGGAAGTTTCGCCCTCTTGAAATTTCTAGAACAGTCCAAAACATTCGAGAGTATTCAGGAACATCTCGTATCATCCCACATCATTGTGGAAATTACAGAACACTCTCGAATGTTGTGAAATGTTCTGGAACATTGTGGACCATTCGAAGCCTTTTTTGTATGGGTGGGACTACCCATCGTTGGGGGTATATAAAGCAAGATCCGTCATGGGTTCGAACGTCAGTTTCAGCTAATCTATATATAATCGAGACGGGTTCATAATAATAATAATAATAAGCGCAGAGCCCAAACGGTTAGCGGTTCAAAGTTGAAATTTAGTACACAGATAGAGCCTGTACACACTAGGCGTTTTTCAACGCGCGTTTTAAAGAACCAAGAGTTCTATGTAGGTGTACACGCTCAAACGCGCGCTTTTGGCCAAGCGCGCGTTTATAGATTTTTGTTAAAACGCGCGTTTTGCGGGAGCTTTAAGGGCGCTTTGAGATATATGTGCTGCCTTATAGCGACGATGGAGGAGGCGCACACAAGCAATCACTTTCACGTCCATTTCCAAACTGAGCCAGTGCTAACGCCGAGCTAACGCACGTTTAAAAACGCCTAGTGTGTACAGGCTCTTAGGGTACGTCAAGAAAACGCATACTAACAAGGGATTTTTCGAAATTCCCCCCTCGAGGAAGAGGGACAGGATTAACGCTTCAACAATGGAAGTGTTAAAAAAAAGCAACGTGCAAGATTTACAGGAGCAGATGTGGATTTTTGCGTTTTTGCGGGAAATCGAACATATTTTTAGCCCCATCTAATAATTTACTAATTAGTTTGCAAACAGAGGGCCTAATTTTTGCATTTTGTGAAAACGGGTAAGATTGGCTGTAATGTAATAATCTTAATCTTCGCTATTACTTTTTGCCCGAGCATCGCCGGGCTTATCTGCTAGTATGAAATAAAACTGAGCATATTTTTATTAATTAACATAACAATATTTAATTATGTGAGGGACGAACAGACCCACAATAAAGTGTTATTTTAAATTTTAATTTGGAAAATATAATAGGTTAAATTCGAACGTTTTATCGAGTTAGGCTAAAAGCCATAAAATTTATTTCCCACGGAGTTTGTTCTTTGTTGAGTCGGATCAAGTTAGTCAGGAATGTGTCACCAGGAACTTTTGATGGAGAATCCATATTGGACGTGCGACCGTTAAAGGCTATCACCTGACCTCATGGAAAAAACCCAAGAGAAAAAAAAAGAGAAAAGAAAACGATCCCGAGGTCAGTCGTCATCCGAAGTCCCTCTACAGAAGTCGTCATTCAGGCCCGCCCAACCAAGTCGTTCTCCAAACCATTAAAACCGTGCCCCAGGATTAAAACCGTACCACCGAATTAAAACCGCGACCAGGATTAAACCCGAGAAAAACATTCGTGCTGGATTAAGCCTCTACACTCCTCCGTGCCTCCACCCCAGTGAACGGACAAGATTCTGATTCAAGATTCAACGACAAGATTCAAAGAACTGTCCATCCAAGAACTGTCCATTCAAGATTCAAAGAACTGTCCATCGACAAGGTATTTATCAACCCGCGATTCGGTTGTAAACTCTCTCTCTCCGCGGCCTAGTATAGTTAAGGACAATAATATGCCGATAGTATTTAGTATCTCTGTATAGTATTTAGTTCGACTTAATTAAAATCGTTATTTACTTGTTACTATGGAGTCCGAGTAAGTTACTTCCGCGTCTCTCTCCTCACCTCTACTCCGAATCCAAGCGCTCACACGCTACCGCTCGCGAATCTTTAGACGTAACGTCACGATTACCGAGTCCCCCAGAGACTCGGTGGTGTCAGATTCAGTCCTCCTGACAGGGCGCCAAAGAGGTGCCGACCCTACGGTCACAATTACATGTTTCACTTCATCATTTATTTGTGATTACAAGCCGAAAATTAGCGTGTGTCATTGCGTATTGGTGTGATGTGTGACAAAAATTATAATAAATGATTAGAGGCTTCTTTTCGTTATTAAATAAACAGCTGTATTAAGTATCCCGGAAATATTTAAAACTATGTGTGGCGGTATCTTAAATATTTTGTTAAAAATATTTTATTTTTAACAAAAATATTTTATTTTTAACAAAAATATTTTATATTTTTAACTGTTGTAAAATGAGAAAAAAAAGCTTGATTTTAAGGATAAAGATGAGTTTTATAAGAAATTGTAAATGAGAAAATGAGTAAACTCCTCATTAACTCCGACCCTACTGAAGATAGAGACGACCCCTTTCCACCTTTAATCACAAAAACTTAAAAGCATCAATCCCCTTAATAAACAAACCTTCCTTCTAAATTTAAGAAATTTTCGACAAAAAGCACATTAATACACACTCTGACATTTATGCATACAAAAAATCGCCGAAATTTTTTTACTTTCTCGACGTTTTAAGCTATCTTAAGTTTAAAAATGAAAATGTTCGAAGGATTATTCTCTGACCGACTTCCCTTTTTTATATGTAACAGCCGAGAAAGTAAAACATATTTAGTGTTAAATAATCAAGGATTTTAAAATGTTTTCTATGAAATTTACAATTATTACATTTACTATTTATTCTTGTAGATGTAAAATATCACAAAAATGTTATGTTAATCAATCAAAGTTCGATGTTCTGGCGTTATTTTATTTCGGGACGTTCTGATCTCCCATTAGCACAAAAATATAAAAGACCTTACAAAATTCTATTTGTCGACGTTGATAACTTTATGTCTGAAAATTCATACGTAAGTACGATGTACTGTACAGTACGTTACCTATCTGCGTGTCATTCCTTAACACTTCGTTTCATATATAATACATAAATGTATATGCAATAAAAACTTCTTTCAATGCAAGTAATGTATAACTATGGACTAAGTGTACAAGGATATATTTTCATTTGCATTCTAGGTGAAGAAATATCCTGTCCTCATGACATTCCAACATTCCTTAGAAGCACATATTGCTTAGTACATAAGTCAACAGATATCAATTACTTCGTGATTAATACAGTCGCTATTTAATTAGAAGTGGTTCCAGGAAGCTTTGCTTAAATCTTAAATAAATATTATATGCGCAAGTACTAAATAAATAAGTTAAAAAAATAACTTGGATGGAGCGATACTTTTATGAATCGAGTTTGCTAACGATGGATAATTTACTTTCACTGTGATACCGGCTCTCATAAGCAAGAAAAAAATGTGTTTTTAATTACAGTAGAGCGTCGATTTTCTAAAAGTCAATCATCCGAAACGTCAATCATCCGAAAGAATTCCAGTCGGCAAATTTAAATTTTCGCCAGTGCTGTGGCGCTTCAATCTTTGTCTGTCTTGGGCTACTCAAATATTTTACGTTTTTGATACTAAATCAACATCTGAAGTATAATTTTTTATTGTTTTTATATTTTTCAATATATTTATTTTGTTTGTACAAAATAAAAAAATAATTTTTTACAATACAATAGTCTTTGTTAGGCTTAACATCGACGAAAATTCAACGCGAAGCGACACGCAACGGAAAAAATTTCAACATCGGATCGTTAAACTATTTTTTCATACATAAATCGGTTATCCGAAATATCAGTTATACGAACAACCCCAGTCCCCAATTGATTCGGAAAATCGACGCTCTACTGTATTATAAAATGGCAAAAGGCTGAATTTTGAAAGTGCAGATCAGTTTATCAGTTCATCGATAAAAACAATAAAATAAATACCAACAGGCTTCTTTGTTATTTATTTAAAAAAAATCGAGTTTAATCATATAATTGGGTTGTAATTATAGAAAAAATTGTAGATCTATAAATTTTCACTGTCGCCTGTCTGAGTGTCAGTCCTTTCTTAATCTCGAGAACAAACGAAGATAAAAGCCGAGGTAAGATAATGTGAAAAGATTAGGGGCACGACACACCGATTAACTATGTAGAAACTTTTGGTGAAAATCGAAAGTTACGTTATTTCAATTAAAATCCTTACTCCTGAAAACAGTTAATAAATGACCGGCAAAACTGCATTTATATGAATGAAAATTTATGTATTACCTATTATTCTTATGAGTAGAAAGATACTTTCATTGTATTAAAGGCATTAAGCCTCTTACCTCTTTCGACTTTATAACCAGAATGACTCCAAATAGTGGATCCGTTTATATTGTGTGTGAAAATTGACTTTCCTTTAATATTTATCTGAAATAATAAAAGATTACGTTATATTATTAGACAGGTTGATCTTTATAAAAAAACAAATAAAAAAATTATTTAAACTGAAGCATAAAAATACACTTACTAATTAAATTTTTTTTTTAAAATATGGCCTACCAACTACTTTTTTTTAATAGTAATGTCTGTCATCTATTTAATACCTTTCAAAGGAAAATTTCGAATTCAAACAACGTGATTTCTGGTTTTCAGCAGATATACAGTTTACTCTGCCGAATTAAATAAATCTAATACTATATGAATATGTAAATAATAGTTTATTAAGAATCGGCCTGCAATTTGGAAATAAACTTATAAATTGTCACTTTATTTAGTCTGTACGACTGTTTGACAGTCCATCCTTAATTTCGACAACAGAGTTAGTTAGGTGAATGCCGAGATCAGATGTGAAAAACTTAAAAGCACGAGACCAAGATACAAGAACTTCCGATGAAGATCGAAAGTGACGTTATTTAGATTCAGAAAGTTTCCTCTGAAAGAAGTTAAATACGTAAACGTCACGACTCTATTACTAACAGGAAAAGCATAATGTAAACGGGCAAGCCACTGTTAATTTCAGGTAAAAAGAACATATTTTAAATTAATTAAATTAAAAAAAAAATACAATGAAAAAATTGCAGGCCATGTCATAATAAATATCTGCACGTTGATTGTGTTTTCTTTTTTGCAGTTAAAATAAGTTTGAATTTCTCTTAATTTCGGATCTTGTAGTGCACATAAAAAGCGAAAGTATAAAAATCGTGTCAAATTTAAAAGTCCCGAACACATTTTAACATCATACAACTTAAATATCATTGATTTTACAAATATAATACATTAAACTTAAACTATACGTACCTAAAATATTAATTTATAGGTAGAACAGTAGATACGTTAGAAATACGATGTCAAATTAAGTATGAAATGAAGCAATGTCAGCTACTACAAATCAAACTACAAAATTTTTTTGAATAACACGTAGCGTGTGTAAACAAAAGTATTATAGTTATTGATCCCGACATAATAAAATATCTAGCAAGTAATTGCGTTACTTTTCCGGCTGTTATGAGATTTTATTTTAAAAACAATTTATTAATTATTAAGCAAATTAATACAGGGTGTCCCATAAATTTTTAAAAATTTAAAAATTTATAAATGTTGAAAGTATTGGTATATTTAAATGAGGTTACATTTTAATCTGAAATAATAATTTTAATTCTAAGTACATGAATATTTAGACAAGTTATTTATTAGAGTTTTCTTCATTTAATTGTTCATTATTTACTATTAATATAAATATTTATATCATATTTTATAAATCTAAATCTAAGATATATTTTTTTTATTAAAAATAAAAAAAGTATTTATATCATGAATAATAACAATGTATACTTAATTTAAGATATGTATTATATTAGTCTTCTGTTAATGTTAATATATAAATATATAATTAGTATTTATGTGAATAGTATGTTTAAAGCATTTTTTAACATTTCAGGCTGTTACTGAAGAGGTCCATAAGAAAACAACAGTTAAACAGACCACAACTACAAAAACAGAATATCGCTGTGTTCAGTTACAGAATATCCCGATCCGATCTGTCAAAGGAAAGGTTACAAGTTAGCAGCATTTTATAACATATTTAAGTCTTAATATAAAACTTTAGTTTCACTCCAGAATTAAATTCTTTAACATGAGGAGATGAGTAGTTACGTGACGGAATAGTACCAACAAATGTTACGTGACACGCTTCGTACGTGTTTGCCGTCTGATGTTCCGCTTCGCCAAAAAAACAAGTTTAAGCAATGGCATCTTCGAACAATACACACTTGGTAAGTATCCCTACAATATTTTGTTTATAGCACATTTTTTATGGATTATTTTCGAGAATTTATACGTGTTTTAGAAATAGTTTGAGTCAAATCAGTCTAAAATCGATTACTTTTATGGAAGAAAACGTTTAAAACAGCCGTACATCTAAACTAAACTTGTGCACTTTTTAAAACGAACATCGTGGCCAAAACGTCAAATTTCTTTGTAAAGAGTCGAAATAACTTTTACTCGAAATCCGAAACAACGTAGCTCAGTTTATAGCTCGTGGAGCCATTATTTATACTAATATACTATTTTAAAATATTTTTTTTCCCTCTATTTCCCACTTTATATTATGGAAGAAAACGTTTAAAACAGCCGTACATCTAAACTAAACTTGTGCACTTTTTAAAACGAACATCGTGGCCAAAACGTCAAATTTCTTTGTAAAGNCTAATTAAATTTTTTTTTAAAATATGGCCTACCAACTACTTTTTTTTAATAGTAATGTCTGTCATCTATTTAATACCTTTCAAAGGAAAATTTCGAATTCAAACAACGTGATTTCTGGTTTTCAGCAGATATACAGTTTACTCTGCCGAATTAAATAAATCTAATACTATATGAATATGTAAATAATAGTTTATTAAGAATCGGCCTGCAATTTGGAAATAAACTTATAAATTGTCACTTTATTTAGTCTGTACGACTGTTTGACAGTCCATCCTTAATTTCGACAACAGAGTTAGTTAGGTGAATGCCGAGATCAGATGTGAAAAACTTAAAAGCACGAGACCAAGATACAAGAACTTCCGATGAAGATCGAAAGTGACGTTATTTAGATTCAGAAAGTTTCCTCTGAAAGAAGTTAAATACGTAAACGTCACGACTCTATTACTAACAGGAAAAGCATAATGTAAACGGGCAAGCCACTGTTAATTTCAGGTAAAAAGAACATATTTTAAATTAATTAAATTAAAAAAAAAATACAATGAAAAAATTGCAGGCCATGTCATAATAAATATCTGCACGTTGATTGTGTTTTCTTTTTTGCAGTTAAAATAAGTTTGAATTTCTCTTAATTTCGGATCTTGTAGTGCACATAAAAAGCGAAAGTATAAAAATCGTGTCAAATTTAAAAGTCCCGAACACATTTTAACATCATACAACTTAAATATCATTGATTTTACAAATATAATACATTAAACTTAAACTATACGTACCTAAAATATTAATTTATAGGTAGAACAGTAGATACGTTAGAAATACGATGTCAAATTAAGTATGAAATGAAGCAATGTCAGCTACTACAAATCAAACTACAAAATTTTTTTGAATAACACGTAGCGTGTGTAAACAAAAGTATTATAGTTATTGATCCCGACATAATAAAATATCTAGCAAGTAATTGCGTTACTTTTCCGGCTGTTATGAGATTTTATTTTAAAAACAATTTATTAATTATTAAGCAAATTAATACAGGGTGTCCCATAAATTTTTAAAAATTTAAAAATTTATAAATGTTGAAAGTATTGGTATATTTAAATGAGGTTACATTTTAATCTGAAATAATAATTTTAATTCTAAGTACATGAATATTTAGACAAGTTATTTATTAGAGTTTTCTTCATTTAATTGTTCATTATTTACTATTAATATAAATATTTATATCATATTTTATAAATCTAAATCTAAGATATATTTTTTTTATTAAAAATAAAAAAAGTATTTATATCATGAATAATAACAATGTATACTTAATTTAAGATATGTATTATATTAGTCTTCTGTTAATGTTAATATATAAATATATAATTAGTATTTATGTGAATAGTATGTTTAAAGCATTTTTTAACATTTCAGGCTGTTACTGAAGAGGTCCATAAGAAAACAACAGTTAAACAGACCACAACTACAAAAACAGAATATCGCTGTGTTCAGTTACAGAATATCCCGATCCGATCTGTCAAAGGAAAGGTTACAAGTTAGCAGCATTTTATAACATATTTAAGTCTTAATATAAAACTTTAGTTTCACTCCAGAATTAAATTCTTTAACATGAGGAGATGAGTAGTTACGTGACGGAATAGTACCAACAAATGTTACGTGACACGCTTCGTACGTGTTTGCCGTCTGATGTTCCGCTTCGCCAAAAAAACAAGTTTAAGCAATGGCATCTTCGAACAATACACACTTGGTAAGTATCCCTACAATATTTTGTTTATAGCACATTTTTTATGGATTATTTTCGAGAATTTATACGTGTTTTAGAAATAGTTTGAGTCAAATCAGTCTAAAATCGATTACTTTTATGGAAGAAAACGTTTAAAACAGCCGTACATCTAAACTAAACTTGTGCACTTTTTAAAACGAACATCGTGGCCAAAACGTCAAATTTCTTTGTAAAGAGTCGAAATAACTTTTACTCGAAATCCGAAACAACGTAGCTCAGTTTATAGCTCGTGGAGCCATTATTTATACAAATATACTATTTAAAAATATATATTTTTTTCTATTTTCCAATTTATATTATATAGCCTATAAGCCGTGTTTCTCGTACTTAAAGCAACACTGCGATCTTACAATAAAGTATTTTTCACTCACCTCTAAAGGTTCTGATTTAATTGTTTTATAACACTTCACATCCGTATAAAATTCTTTCTTGAAATTCTTTAAATCAACTTCAAATTTCTTTTCGATTCGTTCAGTTGTACAGTCCGAATGTTTTGTTTCTAACTCTTGTTTTATCTTCATTTTCTCGATTTACGATATTCTCGTGAGTCAACAATCTGTATTCAATCAAAGAATTAATTAATAAATATATGTTCATTCGAAATTTAAAGCAAGTAACAAAGAAAGACGAATAAACTCATAACTACTGTTCCCGTTGTAGCGGTAAACAAAAGGTGCACCCTCAAGGTTAACGGAAGAGACTTCAGTGATGACACGTCACCAGCACATGTGATACTTTGCAGCTATAAAATCACGTGTTGTATGGTTAATACCATGGTTCTTAATACGCACCTATAAATGTTTATAGAAAGAAACTAAAAATGAAATATTTAATCACATTCTTATAACTTAAAAACTTTCCGGTTTGCATTATACTAGGTACAGGGGCGGAGCTAAGTTTTTCGGAGCCTAGGGCTTAATGAATTTCAATGGAGCCCCATTTTCGTTAAATTAAAAGGTTTTAAATTGGGGATTAAAGTTTATTTTTAATAACGTGAAAATCAGAGTTGAAATATATATATTTATGAAATGTTAATAAAAACGTATTAAAATTTATGATAATAATTTAATTTTTGTGCCCCCTTAACACTTGTGGGCCAGAACTTGAGTCTTATTAATCTCTATGTATTAATATACATAGGAATTAATAAAGTATCTTAACTAGGTAGCCTGATAGTTCAATTTTAATTCTATTATAATTAAAAAGTAAAATTTAAAAAAAAATTAAAAAGCAGTTAAATTTATAAAATAAATAAATGAAACTACTAAAACATACAAATCAATTAAAATTTGATTATCATTTGTGCGAAACAACACTAAAATAATTCTTAATATTTATGTGGAAAAAAACGACAGTTGCAATTAATTAAAAATAGTATAATTAATGCAAAAAATTGAATGCAAAATTAATATCACATGAGGATTTGAAGTTCATAATTTACTTTTAACAAAAGTTTGTCATATTTGTTCGATATTTTTCCCTATTTTTGTAAAACGAAATTAAAGGAAAAACTTCCTATTCTGTTAATATATACCAATGCTCCCTAACCTACTTTTCCTTGTGTGAGAGACTTGGAAATATTTTTAGGAAAAACTTTTCTATGAAATTCACATCAAATCTGGAAATCATTAAACGCAATGTTCCTTCACACACGTATTAAGAGTTAAGCAAAAGATTATCAATGACCCCAACCTTTCTATACGTCATCGTCCAATACTCTGCTTCCAGTGCCCCCTGTCACCTAATTCCTTTTTTTTTCGCCCCCTAACATTTACTAGTCATCAATAGGGGGCCGCTTTTAGGGAAAGCTGCGCTAAACAGTCCAACTTCCGACACGTGTTGGTAGAGTAGAAATCTTGTTTCGACGGTTCTAATTGGAGTTCTGCGCTTTAAAATAAGTTCACCTCACACAGTTCCGTGGAGTCTGTTACGTAAAACTTGTTGCCTGTGTGCCTGAAATTTCAATACCTCCGACAAATATAGGAAACTTTTCTCGGTAACATTAGAAATTTTTGGTAGCGCCATCTGTGATCATATTAAATTTTTTCTACTTCTAGTCTAGTGTTCAAATTCTAGTAACGAGTAAAATCGTCATTAAGTTCGTCATTACGCGTTTATATCAGCCAATAACGGTTCGTCTGGTAGTCACATGAGATAATAAAATCAATAGCATAAAGAACGATGCGGTTACATAAAGGAAACATAATAAATTTAACACAAATTCTACAAAATTATGACATATAACTTAATTCATAGGAAAACCCAAACGAATGTTAGTCGAAATAGTATTTTTTATCGACAGATCTTGATCGAAGAATAAACGTATTTTTACACTCGACCGAAGAAAATATCTCTCATTCAAAACCTTCGACAAAATTTTCTAGTTTAATAAAGCGAGCCGTAAAAAATAAAATTTGTAAACACATGGATAACGGCAGTGTCGGTATCGTTCGACATCTTTAATACTGTACGCATGCGCCGAAATGTAAGTAGATTGCCGCTTGTGTGGTTGTGCCACCGCGCGACGAAAATGCGTTTAGGTCACCGCTTTTCCATGTCATGCCACATGTGCATCCACCCTAATGGAAATACATACGACTCCCATTAATTAACTCTCCACTCTATCGACCTTACAACATGAAAATTTAATAGCATCAATCCCCTCTTACAAACGAAGAAAAGGACTGACGATATAACAACGGAAGTTTATATCGACGAGTGATAAAAACGACGTGAATTCTATGAACAAATAGTTGTTTATCATACATCACGTGGGTTTCGTAGCTACTAATTATGACGTGAGTTGATGACGAGCTACCTCTCGACTCTGTTCTATTGACTATGAATTTGCATCCCCCCTTTTTACTGCTACAACGCGAACAAAAACAACTGAGATTACTTGCCTGTCTTTGTTAGGACTTTCATACTATGGACGACTGGTTCGACTGGTCCGACTCGAAAACGTGTTTACATCAGACTAAGGGTACAGTGTTGCCGGATCTGAAGGTTAAAAAGTAGCGTGGTTGTGCTCCAAAAGTAGCGGATTTGAACTGTTTGTAGCCCAAACAATAAAAATGAATTATTTTGCAACTATGCACTTTTACTAATGAAATAAGTTTGTAATATATGTATATACATACACAGGGTGTATCAGAATGACGTTTTAAAAATTTGGGGATTGTGGAGGATGAAATTTTGAACGTTTTGATATAAGGAACCTACAGCCGGAAATGAGATACGTATAAAGTTTCTACTGCACTTTGCACGTTCTATGAGGTCGGTATGCTGAATGAAACAGCAGAATACGGTATTTGTGACAAGTTTTATTGACAAAACAATAGAATACAATCAAACTGTACATCGAATCAGTGGCTGCACTACTTTAGAGTAAATGTTCAGTGTGACGACCACCAACTTCGTTACATAATGTGCAACGACGAACCATGTTTTGTCCGACTCTCCGTAAGATGCCACGCTCCCCTCTGATGGTATTAAATGCTGTAAAGATGCGCTCCGTAAGCTTATGAACTGTTCCTACAGGTGTTGCGTACACAAGGGACTCACGTTGACTAGCTGTGTGTTTACATCACAACGCCAGTGGATGCAAGGGGTGACCTGAAGAACGACAAGCACTGAGTACACAACGTCCTGTACACAGGCTCAGTTAGACCACTGTAGTTGTGTGTTTACAGTCTTTCATCCGCAGCAATAACATGACGTCAATGGATGGAAGGGTAGCTACCAAAGTGAAGGGCGGTCAAGCACTTCCTACCGCTGTAGACACTTTAGTTCAAATTTCCGATTATAGGTTCCTTATACCAAAACGTTCAAAATTTCATCCTTTACAATCCCCCAAATTTTTAAAACGTCATTCTGATACACCCTGTATATGGACATTCGGTGTATCTGCATCAATTTTCTCTAAATCAAAGCGAATCATTCGCAGGCGAGGCGATTCATTTTTTGAACTTAGAGACAGCGACTGCGGCTTTTCTTTTCAGTTTTAAGGCCATCTTTTTCCATTGTATCAAGAACTGTTGTATCAAAATTTAATAACTTTTGGATCACTTATTGGGAGAGAAAATTGGCAATTCCAACAGCATAATGCTTGTAGTAGACAATCCACAATTTCACAAGCAATGTCGCCTCCGTGCTTGTGAAGTTGTGGATTGTCGACTGGAGCGAACGACTGATGGAAAACGGAAGCAAAGTATCTTTATCTTTGTTAAACGTTGCAACTTTATTTATATACTTAAGTGTAATGAAATTAAATAAAACTTTATTACTTTTGTATAATACAATAAGTGTTTTGCGATTTTATATATGAAAATAAAAAAAGTAGCGAATTTTTAAGATCTGTAGCCTGAAGATAATTATCACTAGCCCAAAAAGTAGCGTGTCGCCCAATTTGAAATTTTTGTAGCGAGGGCACTTAAAAAGTAGCCCAATCTGCTACTTGTAGCCCAATCTGGCATCACTGTAAGGGTAATCTAGCCCCTTACGTCAGACGGGTCGTTGCAGTAGGACAAATTGAAACAGTTAATTATTTGTAATCGGGTTGGAGCAGTCGGTCATAGGCGTTACTCATTCAAAAATTTGAGTGAATTTATTGTGACTATTTATTAATTGATATCGATTGATGACACTCTATTCAAGTCATAAGATGGCAACCACTTTGATGAGAACAATAATTTTTTTTTTATTTTCAACAACTACAACATGTGGTAATATATAATACAAAATTTAATTTTTGAAAAAGTTTTTAAAACTAGAAAATTTAACATTTTTAAATTATATGTAAATGCACCATCTTGCCCCACCTGTGGGGTAAGATGGGTATATTATATTTATATACAAGAAGGACAAATTAAAATGGTTAAATTGTCGTTTTCTTCAATATTGGCGCAAGAACAGTATGCCCATTTATCACAACGGCTACATTTAGCCCAACTCTCTGTAGATACAGAGTATAACCCTCCACAATAGAGGCATTCTGTGTCATTTGTCTTTTGTTTCTTGTTAGGCCTACCCTTGCTGAAAGGATCTGTTTGTCGTCTGTGCAGCAATAAAATCTGCCTGTAAAAATTCTTCTGGATTCATAGGCCATATTCATGGTCAACCTGGGGCTAGACGGGTATCTCATCTTGTTCCCAACGTATACTTTTCATACTGACTGCAAACAAAGGTAAACTTCATTTCAAAACTAATCATTTACAGTTTTAAAACTTACTTGGAATACCATAATATATTCATCTAAAAGGTAATGTAAAAGTTCACAATGATACTTACTTTGTAGAAACTTTTTAGCAGGCGTAAAATTAGATGAAGTATTGCCGAAACATAAAATACATGTCTTACTTCCAAACAAAAAAAGCGATTTGGACGTTGTCCCATCTCATGATCCCTTTTGAAGTTGAAATTCAGTTCTCCAAATAACAGCTAGATAAAATAACATTAACCACAAATAAACAGACGTCTCCATCTAACCCCATGACCCCATCTTGCACCACCTTTTCCTGCAGGTGAGTAAAATGTTGCTTTAAAAGCGTCATTTTCAAACTTTCTATGTTACATTACTCCTTCGAAAATTTTAAAATGATGTTTCCCTATCTGAATTTATGACTACGATGAAAAATGTTACGATTTTCATGAAAGAAAAGTCAACCGAACCCGAAAGATCCATCATGTCTACCTGTAAAAACACTCAACCAGACGTTAGTGAGACAGTTGTCTTTAGAATCCTTTATTACGTCATAAGATTTAGATTTATTTAATATTCATTACTACTTATTGATTATCATTCGCAGCAGTTACTTGACTTCACTTGTGATATTAACGGGGCTAAAATTTTCAATTTCAAACCTGTAAACTGCTGTTATAGACCGTTTACGTGTGTTCGTGTCCTTCCTTAATCTCAGAACAGAGTTATGTAGGTGAAAATCGAAAACTTATTTACCGGAAGCTCGGGATTAACTGTAGTCACGTGATTTTTTAAATTGAAATATGATTAAGAACTACAGCCAATATAAATGATTTTTAAACACGAATTGCTATAAATAATTATAAATAATACAATTGAGAAATGTAAATGTAAGTAACGTGCACTTTATTCACATATTGAGTCTTACTGTCAAATATGCTTACACTATTCTTATATACTTATTCTTATATTTTGTTTTCTTTCTTTATATATTTTTGCTGAGCTTTACTTTATCAACATAATTTCACCAGTCTTTTAAACAGGATTTTAAGTATTTTTCAGTTATCAGTAACTTTATAAGAGAATAGTTATTTTGATAACTCTATATTCATCTAAATGTCACGTGATAGCCTGTAGATTTTTATTCCAACAAATATGAAAAATGTGGTTCAAATCGGATAAAGGATTTAGAAGTTAATAAAGGGGCGAAATCGCGGTGAAAGTATTAATTAATAGATTAAAAGTAATCGCAAAACGTCATGTTACGTGTTGTCAAATCGACCAGATCAATGAAATATTAATATTTAAAAAACATGCTATAATTCTATAAATACTTCGCATTTTCAAATAAAACTCTCAAAAAACACCACAAAAAAATGATCCTCTCGAGAGAGAGTTAATAGGCGCGTTCAGTCGACCCCCCTATAAGATAGAGATACGTTCCATTCTCTAGGAATCCGATTTCTTACGAATCCTTCCAATCACAACCCGACACATGTCAAGTTTACGGACTACGGCTGTTTGAAAGATTTTCTTCCATAAAATTAATCGATTCTAGACTAATCCGACTCAACAATTCCAAAATACGTATAT